TGATTTATTTAAATTTGTATTTGAAGGTGGACATTCAGGCTTTACAGTAGTTGAAAAACATTGAACATCATCTTCATCATCACTAATAATCATTAGATCATCATCTTCTATTGAAATAACAGAACGTTCTATTTGTTTAGAGTTATCTTTTACATTGGTGTTTCTATTTTTATTTTCAGTAAAAGTAGAGATTGATGATTCAAAATTATCATTTAACATTTCACAATCAATTTGCATATCTTCATCTAAGGTTATAACTTCAACTTGCTTTACACCATTAGGTGATTTTTGGTTCTCTTCTGTATCATTATCAGTTAATACAACTTCTTCATAATTACAAACATTATCTATATTTTTATCACTATTAAATGTATGAACCAATCTTTGTTTATTAATAAATGTGTTATTGTTATTGCTACATTTTACTTCATTTTGAGTTTTTAGTAATTTAACAGATTTGATCGACTTATTTTTCTTTTTAGTCTTACAAACTTTATTCGTAATGTGTTCTAAAATTGTATTTTCATCAGTATGATTAGCATCATATTTTAGCATTTTTTCGGCTTTTGATAATCGCTTTTGTGGTTTAAGATGTTTAGAAAGGATATGCAGTGGCTGTTCAACTTTATTTTTAGGCTGATTTATAATACCTTATTCACTTTCAGAATCAGTTAATTCAAATAAGGATTTATTATTTTCATTATACAGACCTAAATTAAAAAAAAAAAATTAAAAAAAATTAGCTTAAATAGTTTGTAGAATAGTAAATAATTATAAGTATTTATAATGTATACAATAATATTATTTATTTTTTAAATATAAAATAATTTGATATAATATTTTAAATATTGTTTTGTTTTGTATATAATGTGAACAACGCCAGTAAATGTTATAAGATTTTGTAAAAACATAATATTTTGGTAAAAACAAAAAGTATAAGTAATTGATACTTTCAAAAAATAAAATGTATCATTAATCAACATAGCTTGCTATGTAATAAATGTCATTCAATATTAAAAACCTATTGATATTAATACAATTTCAACTATCCAAAAAAATAAGAATTATCAACAAGTAATAAATAGAAAGAATTTAAATTAAGTTAACTTTATAATAATATAAGCTGATCAATGATCATAAACAATAAAAATAAGGCAACATAATGAAAACCATTTGTCTTACTTTGATAATATGTAATAAAGTTTTTAAATAAATAAGTGGTAATCACTTAAGAAAGTTGTGGGACTCRAACAGAAGATTTTGATTAATTTACATGTTTTTTTATGTTTTAACCATAGAGATTTTAAGTATTCAAAAAACATTTTATCTTATAGAATTTTAACGAAAATTATAAAATAAAATATCATTTTTACATTTATGAATAATATTTAAATTAAAATTGTTTTTAATAAATAAATAAAAATTTGCTGAACCAAAGCCCTATATTTTTAATAGGAAATAGGTATTAGATTTTATACTGTTGAGAATATTTAATTAGTGGTTAAAAAAATGTCACTATTATAGTATTTTATGAAATATGCCTGTAAGCACAGAAGTATATAGCCATGTAAGTTGATTAACAATAATATACCGTTCATTTAAATGGACAGAGAAACAATTTTCTGATAGATTACACATACATTATTTAATATGAATTATGAGTAGATGATGTAAATTTAGTAGTGACTAACAGACTAGTCACCAAAATATTGTCTTATGAATTTGCATACACTATTACACTTATCTCTTTGTAATAGTGCTTACTGCAGTCCTCTTAAAAAGCATAACAACWGATATTTTAATTGTTAAGGGGATTGGAAGTGGTGATTTTCTGTCTTTGTCTAACACATGTGGGACATACAATACGCCTGACAAAAATTAAGTTACTAATAGTTGTTTGATTTAAAACATGTAAAGATGTGTTAATTGGTATACAAGTTTATTTTGCATTGTCGAAGCACTTTTTCGATTATAGCAATATTTGGATAAGAATAAATATTTTAAATTTTATAAATTTGTCAATGGTTTTAATTAAATATATTACAAATATTAAGAATATGCTTCGACCGATGCAAAGTAAACTTTTATACCAATTCAAAAATCTTTACATATTTTAAATCGAGCAACTAGAAGTACTTTAATTTTTATCAGGCGTATTGTATGTTCCATGTGTTAAGACAAAGACAGAAAATCACCGCTTCCAATCCCCTTAATGTTATTTCTTCTCCTACTCAGCAGAAAGGCACATTTTTAATAAATTAATTGAAAGATAGAAATTTTTAAAAAAAATATTTATTTTTTTTTGTGGGCATTTTTTAAATATTAATGCTTATAGTTATAATGTTTAAGTTAATTTAAAGTAAAGCCAGTGACTTCACATGACGAAAATTTGATGCCACCAGATACTGATTTCAATTTGAACAAAGTATTTAAAATTTAAATACAATACTTAATTATAATATATATTTTAAAATTACCTAGAAAGAACTATTATCTACAAATATATGTATATTACCTTGAGCCATTGACATTGAATTTTTCTCTTTTAAAAATGATATTTTTTTTGGACAAACCAATGTTTTATCATGTTGATTATATTTATCACTCTGATTAGTATCAAACAGGTTAGATCACACAGGTTAGTCAAACATTTTCTTGGATTCTGATACTTGCTCTTCTAGTTTAGGTAAAAATTTAGAAGGGGTCTGTAGTGACTGTTTTAATATATTTTCAGGCTGATTCATAGCACCCCATTCATCTTCGGAATCAGTACAGTCAGATAAAGATTTATAATTTTTACTAACACATTCGTTAGATTCAACTATATCAAAATTCTGCTTTACTGTGAAGTTTCTTTGACGTTTCTCAACAATGATTAATTCTTCATTTTTAGCTAAAATTTAAAAATTAAATATTAGCTKGAATAATTTGTAAAATAGTAAGATTATTATGAGAATTAAGTATAAAATTAAGAAACTGTGACTGTCATCAACTTTTGGGGCCTTAATTTTCTACTTCACCATCTTTTTTGTTGGAAAGTGAAAATAGTAAGTGCTTAAGAGGTTAAACAGTAAAAATTTCTATTTATCTTATTTTTTTTAAATTTATTATCCATGTAAACTTTTTTCCTCAGTCAAACAATTAAAATGTAATATATAAGTTATTGTTATTGAAAATTAAAATAAAGTTGAGTGTAAATCCCAAATAATTTTTTATCAGCTTCTGAAGTAAGAATTTTGACAAAATTAATCAAAATCACAAGATTTCTCAAAATATTTTGAGTTAGAAATGCATAAGAATGATTTGATATATATTTAAGATTTAGAAATTAATAAGAAGATTCTACATGTTTTCTTACCTAGATCTAATAAGAAAAAGTTTACAGTTAAGTTGAATCAACTTTTTATGAATGTTTGAAGCTAGACATTCACCTGTTAATTAATAAATTACTATAGAACAATTTTCTCAATTTTTTATAATTCAAAAACTATCAAGAACACCTGATACCCACATGTGTTGTCTCTGCCTTACAAGTGCATAACATAGCAAATTTTATGCTYAGCAGATCACGTGTAACTCCGTTAGCTTAGAAATTTAGATTTTAGAGTGAATTGACCTCTAACAAAATTTGAAGGTAAGATACCTAATTATTTAGACAACCTCATAGGCTTTTTATAATTTTTTAATTTTAAAGTGAGTTATTAGTATTTTAAGACATAAAAACATTTACAAATACTCTCCATTATATAACTTAAGGTCAAATTAACTATTAAAACTAGTATATTTATGACTAGTATGATTAGTTTTAAAATGTGTGTTGTACATAAATTTTGACATTTAGGTCAAAAAAGGAAAATTAAATATGAAGTTTCACAAAGTAGTGTACTAGGTTTGATATTTTGCATATTATACATAAATAATATATGTAACATAAACATAGATTGTAAAATTGTAACATTATGCAGATGACACTTCTCTACATTTTACAGATAATTCGTGGATTTCTGTACTACAATAAAGTAGTTAAACTATTTAACTCTAAGAATTTGATATTTTATGACTTTTAGTATACACGATTCAGTTATTCATTTGATGAAACTACTTTACATTTTTGTAATGATGTAGCCGAATGCAACGAGGATTTGTGTGAAAATATGTCTATAGTCTATATTACTTATAAAAAAAAAAAATAAAATTATTAGTAAATGAATGGTTATAGTGTGATTTACCDTATACCTATTTTAATTTATTTAGTAAATTAACATTTTTTACCCGATTTTTTTTCAAATTTTAATGTATAAGAAGTACATTTGAATTTGTTCATGTACAATGTTGAATAATTTTAAAATTTTCAATTTTTTTTTTTTGAGTACAAAATTATGTTTGATTTTGTTACTGGTTTTATAATTTATTATCTATATTGTATAAATATTTTTAACTCTCTATCTCCAACACAAGCTTAGTTTAAAAGGGATAGAAAATTGAAAAAAAATTATTATTATGTATTTAAAAATGTATTATATATTTATTATTTACTATGTATGTAAACTAATATTCTTTTGATCAATAATAGTCGGTCATGTTTTAAATATTTGAATAAATTAAAGGATTATAATATTTGTTTTGTGTTTGATATACAAATACTGAAATACAGTACTTTATTTACATTTTTATTCTAGGTAAATACAAATATTTTAATTTTATATTTTTATTGTCAAATTTTTTTAAGTCATGCTACAATTTATTTTATCAATAAAGAACAATGTTATGCGTATTTTATTTGAAAATTTTWTATACCTAAATTCTTAAATTGATAAGTTCTTTAAGTAAAAATATTATTTAATAATTTTCTTAAAAATAAAAATATTTAAAAAAATCTTACAAACATAGATTATTTTAAACTTGAGGATTATCATTATAATACTATAGGTTAGTAATACTTTAATTTCAAAAATGTATTCAGAATGAAATTCAATAAGAGGTTCTTATTACTGTATTATACATCATGTGTAAGTTGGAGAAAACAATTAAATTGATTAGATAAGGTTATTCAGTTATTTTACATGTGTAAGACAGAAAAAATTCTCAACTGTTTTACACTCTTAATTAAAATGATGTTAACACTAAAGAAGGAATGATACAAACTGATATTATGTATAAATTATGTTCATTATTTTGTTAATAAAACAAAAAAGTTATTTGTATTAATTCTGTTGAAAAAAAATTAATTTTAATTAGATTTTGGTTTCATTTAATGTGCAGTGTATTCTAATTAATATCAATTATAACTCACAAGTTACAGTAAATGTTAGTGAAGATTTTATTTGGTATGATAATTAAACTATAAAATTATACCTGAATAAACATTTTTAATAACCAAATTTAATAAGTTGACTTAATTTTATAAGCTTTTGATTGCACATTTTTATATAAATGAGTATAACCAATAATAATCAATAATAATTTAATAATTGCTTTATGTTTATATAAAGGTATGTGTTTAATTTGATTTTAAATTTATATTACAGCAATTAATAACAATTAGGTTAAATTATTGTAACACAATATCTGATTAGATAATGATTATAAAAATTATCTGTCACTAGCTGTCTATATTCGAAACACAGAATATTCAAGTCATCAATAGTTTTTATTTTACAAGAAAACCGCATTCATTTTGACATATCAATGTTATYGACTGTTATAGGTATAGGATAACAAAAAAACACTCCTTGAGCCTTGATTAGTTAGTTTATAGTTATAAATTGATTGATGTCACTTTACAGTTATCATTTACAAATACCTAAATAGTTTTCTATCAGTCATGAAACTAATCAAATTATGTCTTAGAAACGATTTATTTAACAATTAATATAAATTTTTTAACACTAACTAAAAACACTGCAAGAGTTTCCTTCACAATTAGATGGATGGTAAACCAAAATATATACATACATAATAATATAAATATGAATATGACGAAACATAATATTAATTTAAGAAAGTAGTTCGTTGTTAAAGTTAAATAAGTTAATCTTATACTTGAAATATTGAAATTATAGTATTTACAATACTTTGACTATCGAATTTTTATAAAATTATGAAATTAAAGATAAATAATAAACAATAAACTTAATATTATACGTACGTGTATTGTTWAACTATATTATCATCAGCGATCAGCGGAACGATTAAACGTGTAAATGGCCAACTTGACATAAATAGCGACGTTGCATTAAAGTACTTAACTCAGTAACWACCTTAGAACATAGCATTTAAATTTATTATTTAAGGTAATAACTATATAGGTCTATAGATAGAAGATAGTTACAACGGCCGCACTGTTGYACATCGTACGATTTAAAAATACTACTGACTACTTTTTGTGAGCACCAGCTGAGGTACCGAATAACAGGTTTTGAACTCACGCTACAAATGAGTCGTGATGTTGAGTTCTGCTGTAGTGCCATTGAATATTACGTGCATCAAAGTTGGTTGKCATTTTATTCTGAATGGGAATTTATAGAGTATTCGTTGATAAACTAAGTGYTCAATAAATCGATAAGCGATAAGAACTGCGAGTCGGAGTGTGCTCACTACTGAGTACTGACAACTAACTGAATTCTGCCAGGAATCGGCTGGGATAATATTATGAAGGTAATAATAAAAAAAGGACGATTTACCATTCACTTAAGTCAGGTGCTCACTGTTCAGTACATTACCTGGTTTGTTTATGTAATACAATGGTGCTTATTACTTACAGGTTTACGACGACGCTTCATCGGCTATGTTCATAAAATTATAATTCTTGTGTTGATAACTTCAACTAACGTGGAGCGATGCGTAATAGTGAGAGTTTACACGAYGAGTTTCTTTTTATATTTTAGTTAAAAACGGATAGGCATTTTTTTCGGATTCAAATGGTTTCTTTGAGTTAACCTCAAAAAAAAAACTAAAGATTTTAGTATACAGCACGAGGTAGAGAAGATAAGATAACACCAGTCCCGTTTCTTTCAATGATGCGACGGCGTATGACACAAAAAATTGCGGCAGTTTGGTAGCTCAGAATTATACCTTATACCATGAAAACTATAATATAGACTTATAGACGGAACATGTAGTAATTGCTCATGTTGATGATATGCAGCGTCCCACGATCGCACACGCGCACTATACTCATTCAATACTTGGTAAGAGTGAACCACTCGCCATTCGGATGACCAAAACTCGTTTTGTTCGCGCATCCCCACCACAAGACGAGCGCCGCCGTGTCGGCCGTTAAGAAACTGCAGCGTTCCACGTAATCGTAGTGAGCTGTATTTAACAGTGTTGCCAAGTTGGTCTTTTTATAACTAAATCTGGTTTTTTCTTGCTACAACCATACTCTATTCAGAATAAGAAACACAGTCGGCGGCCGACTACTGCGCATGGGTGTGGTTTCATTCAAAACACCATACTAGAACAACGCCGCCGGCTAGAGCTTCGCATTAGTCTATTGTCGACCAGCATTGTGAAACAATAACTTAAAATATACTGTTGTACACTATTTTGATCTGTCATTGTGAGTCAACCGGTAGTTGTACCTGTACGTCAGCATGGCGCGTCGGTCGTCGTCGGTTCAGCAGACGAACAGATGTTTGATTAAGCGGGGGTAACAATAGGCGTTGCCTGACTGCTGCTGACGAAAACTGGTCGCCGCCGACTGTGTTTCTTATTTTGAATAGAGTATATTATATAGTTGTTAAATTTTAGAATCTAGTTGTAATAAACACATCTGCATTAGGTGCAAAATGCATTAGACGTACTGTGTTCGCGCCTAGATTTGGGTATCACTAGTGGTCACTACGGAGGTAGTGTTGGCTACACCTAAGTGAATACATGAGCCTACAAATGCCATAGATCCGGTGGCAAGTATTACTGTTGCGGAGCCACCACTGTAAATGTTGTTTTTATCATGATTTAGCCATGGTTTTTACGTCTACGTCTGTGATAAGATAACATTCAAATAATTACCGCCTGAATWTAAATATTATAATAATCATAATAAAATTGAGTATTCTTATTTGTATAACATAAATCTTTATATTCATTTAAATATATTTTTTAAAAATGATTAATACAAGAATCATAGTAGTAGTAGTTGTCATTAGGTGTACCACSTAATATTCTATTAGGACAATATGAATCAACACACAATCAGGAAATATGCAGTCGTATTGGATTATTAAATTATAATTATGTGACGAATATTGCAAAGCAATTTAATCTTAACGAACCTTTTCCTAAATTATTTAATGRAGATTCTAAAAATATTGCAAGTTTTGTCTTAAAGAACAACAATTCAATACTTTTTTACAAAGAAGAAGGAATCGAAGATAATCAGTTTCCAACATTAAAAAAAGACGATTTTGCATTAGGATACATGAATGAAAATCAAGAGCTTAATTTGAAACGCTATGGTTACAAAACAATATGTTTTGACGGTACGCATGGAACGAATCCAAATKATTTTATTTTACATACATTGTTARTAACAGATTTAGACTCCGAAGGCTACCCAGTTGCCTTTTTACTAACCAATAGAAACGACGAAGTGGTAATTAGGGTTCTGCTTGAAAAAATCAAAGCTCGACTTGGTACTGTGTCACCAAAAACAATTATGTCAGATATACAGAGTTCATATTTCAACAGTTGGATAAAAAAAATGGGTCCCGTGAAACATGCTCTATTTTGGACGTGGCAT